GTTGCTTGTTTATCACCGTACACGGGTCTGGACTAACAGACCCCCATGGCGTCGCATATACTGCATCAGCGTGCGTAAAAGTGCCAGCAGTATACCTACGTTAGGACATTCTCGTCAGCGAGAATTCATGTAACGTCACCTACCCACCTCCATGAACCTGAAGTAATCGTATCGCTGCAACATGGGTCCTCGCTCGGAGTACTCCATGCACTCCTCACCACTGGTTAGGGAGAATGAAAACAGCAGAATCCTAGTTGACATCTTGGAGAGCCTTAAGGCCTGTAGCCGTCTACAGTTTTTAGAATGGGTGAAAGACATTTCTGCCTACGTACAGAACCGGGTATACTCGTGAATAGCTTCGATAATATAACTATAAATTTACTAACGGAATGCCCACTCCCACAACGTTATACTACTTCCGGCATTTCTATGATTCGACCGCACTATCAATATGTTAAAACCTCCTTACTAAAGCAGATTAATTTACAGAGACATTTTAAAAAAGAACAGTGCAGAAATGATTTTTGATAGAGGTGCTGTTCTTTATCGAGTGATTAAAATAAATAAGCAATCTCTTAATGCACGGACGAGAAGCAAATTGAGTTGAACAGAAAACCGATAATACGAAGTGGTATGCATTTTTTGTGTTTGTTGACTTCCTTGTTGCGCGAGTCCACAGTCGCCCTAAAGTGGTTCGCGCGCAAGTCACCGTCCTGAGCCCGCTACGCCATGTGGCTCATGTTTGATAACATCGTTAGTGACTGTCGAAATGTCGAGTGTAAACTTTAAGACGATATTTATCAAAATGACTCAATAAACGTGAACGGAATCGGCAGGGTGTATGCAAACACCGCAAGAACTTGGAGAAAGCTTACATTCGGATTAATACATGCCAACTTCATATCTAAAGTTCATTTGCTCAATGACTCGCCTAAAAAGTCAGAGGAGCATTAATTACATCAAAAAATAAAATAATGCTGTTATCATTTTCTGACGTGTATAACAACATTTTTGAGACAAATTCATGATTTTCCGTTTTAAAGCCCACTTCCCAACTTTGGTTAAGGTTGGATTCGTCAAAACATCTTGCTAGTTTAATTGCATGCATTTTCTGTTTTCAGTAACTTGACTGGCCTTTCGTTTACAGTTTATTTTATCACCTAATAAACTACTCTAACTGTTTACGTTCACTATTTATCCGATAAGTCCGATTCCTTCATTCTCTGACGCGTTGCTTTTCCTGGTAAAATGATGCAGATGTAGAACATGATTCCGGCTTGCACAATAATAAGCTTTAGGCCAAAAGGCACTCTCCAGCGTAACGTAAATTCAAATGGTGCTTTGTGCCCATTTTATCTCTAAAACCGCGGTTTCAAAACTTGCAAATAAACGATAAATTTTCACTCATTTCTGTTATTTTTTACTGTCGTGCACATAATTGACTAGTGTCATCGTATCCAAGCTGCCTAATGTTTTTTTACGTTCGAATGCGTTTGTTATCTTTCCCATGGCAACTCATTATGGCAGCGCCTACTTTTTCTTCATTAGATACTAAATTACAAGGAAACAGAGAGTCGGCAATCAATTCTTATGCAAGACTACATTTTCAAATTTCTGACGAGAAGTCATAAACCACTTGAGTTTTTAATCGACAACTTTATAGACAAACCTCATCTGGTCGACGTGCATAGTTTCACGAATATAGCCACCGTCTTTTGGATTTTAGTTATCTCATAATTAGTTAGGCATAATATGTCAGTACCGCTTTCAAATTTTGTTGCCTTCGTCTATGCATGTAATTTTGCGATTACTGGGAAGGTTTGCAATATGAAGACTCCTCTTAGCAATCCAAACACTGAAAGAGTCTGCTTTTAAATGTTATCTTGACATTCAACAGTCAATATTCTAGACACTGGAACGCGAAGAAATGGGCAGTGGCTTAAATGCAGATAAAGGTTTTTGTCGGACAACGTTGCTTGTTCTTACCTGAATCAACGTTTGCCCTTCGGGGCCGAAATCGCAACTTTTTTTCACCTCCGGGGCAATTTTCCCACAGTTTATTGTCTCTGAATATTTATCAAGCGAAACAAATATTACTGGGAAAGTTGTATTTAGATAATGGCCGTCTATGATAAATAAAATGTGGAAATGTTGAAAATCGCAAATTTGCCTAGACAACTTTAAATTTTTGCGGACTAAGAAGCTTATCGTTCAGCAGTGTGTTAGACAAAGTTTTTTTAATTACAATGTCAGTCTTATGTTTTTTAAGATCGTTTCCGGTTGCCACGCAGCAGTTTTGCGGAGAAATAGGTTAAGGTAAAACTTATACAAGTTTATGACTTCTAATGCTTTACGATTGACAGAAGATCTATCAGTAAGCCAATAACAGTAGTGCGTATGATTGTAGCCCTTTAATAAGCTCAAAGCATAATATTATGGTCTTAAGAAAAATGCCGAAACTCAGCTACGAGATCGAGGCGATTTTCGAAATAACTTTTACTACGCTGGTTTTGAACAGTTCGCCATTACCATCAAAATATAAATTGATCATTCTAAAAAGGGATCCAGACTTGAATTACCAACATAAGCTTACAGTACTAAGCTAAAATGTTTTAGTACCCGACTGTGCAGACCACAATTCAGGACATTTGCTTAACCTAATATGTTGTATTATTTACAAGGCAAGTGTTGACCGCCAAGGAGAATTTATTGTTGTTATTTCACAGGCGGTATCATACCGTGCTTTTTATGCATTTTGTTTATAATCGAAAAGTATGAATTACGAATTCTAAAACAATTAATAAGTTTGTTTCACCTTCTGAGTAAAAGCAGACAAAATTGTGCCCTTCACGGTGGATAGACGGCTCATATTAATTCCTTATCTCTACTCATTGGAACCTTTTCTTAATTGTTCCTCGCGTGGCTACGTAGCTTTTCCGTTAAAAGTCCTATCACTAGTTTTAGTACGCCATGTACTCGACAGCTGAGTAAGGACTCGCCAACTTTTAATGTACGACCCACTCGACGAGACCCAGTCATGCATTCAGCTCAGACGAAGCCGAAATTCACGTGAGTGACGGCAAACGCCACCAGCTGCTTGTGTCATGGTTCACCGGCCCGTAGTTTGTTAATATGCACAACGCCCTTCTCCTCCCTGTACAATATCAAGGCTTTGCCATTACGGCATTTATTTTTAAACAGAAGAGCGCGAGTGGAAAGTGCTTCCGTTGACTGTTGGAGTTAGTCAAAGTTTCCGGCGATTGTCGCGCCAATAACCAACACCAGTAATTAAATTGCAGCAATTCTGACTAGGACGCTAATGACCTAGCCACTATCGCATTGAGAGTGATTATGCTGTGTGTAAGAGCTGCCAAATATAGTATTTGTGCAGTGACGCAACAAACACATTCTATTTATTTCGTACATGCTATGAACTCGCCACCTTTAAATAACGTCCTCTCCTTTGATGAGTTTGGGAGTAAACCTAAACATTGAGCGAATAAAATTCTTGTTTCAGCGAGCGAGTCTCGTACTTCGCATCTGATTTCTGGAACCCGTCCTTTCGTTTCTATCGAAGAATGCTCGAGATTTTATGGTATTTTTTCGTTATCGCGTTGCAAATATTATGTTAGGCTGGCAACATTAACTAGTCTCCTATTCAGGTTTCCGCGAGTGACAGTGGTTCAATCAAAGAATGCGCGCTGGACAGATCCACGGTAAATAAATTGTAGATCATGATGAGTGTGGAATAACGTCTGAACGGTAGAAGTTGCGGTGGCCAAAAGCGACGGAACTCAGCTGAGCTCCTGTTCGGGACTAAGAACCTGACTTGTGACCGCGATGTAAAAAGGCCGCTGGCATATTCACTTACTACTGCATTTTGAACCAGTCACAGCGCGTTAATCAAGGCGGCGAGCAGCGGCGTGAAAACTGCTTTAACGATGTGACAAATGAAGCATTTACTTTTAAAATATTTAAATTTCAAGTTCAAAATCAAATATAAACTAAGTTCGGTTTTTTTTTCTAAATTCATCAGTTGCAACATACTGGGCGATATGAAGGATCAAACATATGTAACCGTAAGAAATGGTGTATGAAGTTGATTGCGATTTACTTTCGTCATATAATAGGTTGTGTACTTAATCACTGGATCGTACATCCTTCTGGACCAAGGCACTTAATCATGTCAACAGTTGCCAACTGCGACACTCAGAAGTTTAATTAATTTAATGAAGATCAAGTTAACCGTTCGATTGAGCAGCAAAAACTTCTGAAACGGTTTTCCTATATTGACAAGCTAGTAGTGCCATAGTGGAGAGGATTGCCTCAATCAATGGCCAAAGAGGATTCAGATAGTTCCTTATGCATACGACTACTATGTCCCATGCAAGTTGTAGATGTGGCCGGCTGACGATTAAGTCTAATTTGGCAGACGGAGCAAGCACGATTCTTTCCAACGAGATCGTTGGATTTTTAAGTGACTTTTTGTTGTCACCATCATGAATTGCGTTTTGGCATGTTTTGAGGATTATGACTTAGAATCATATTTTAATGGCCTAGTGTTTAACTACTGTTGCGTCTGCCACGGTTCATTTCGCCTAAATCCTACCGCGTTTAGGTAGCACTCGTTGTAAGTCATCCTTTTATCGTGTTCATTGATAATACCCCAGATTCCAGATTTTTCGCTTGTGGTCAGAAACGCCCCTACTTCTAAAATGTCAAATGACTCTGGTCCTAAATGTTGTCATCTAATTACTTGTCAGTCCAAACCTTAGTAGCTTACTGAAAAAGTTGGTCTAGACACTATCGTATGTTTGCTTTGACGTTTAAATGTTTACGACATTACTCTGCTAGTCTACTATGCCTGCAGAGGCAAAAACAAGGTTTGCTAATTATTGCGCGTGCTTTTCCGGATTGCCTTTTTGCTTTCAGTGCGCTTTTGTGCGACCTGGCTATACGACCTACAGATTGCCTCTCTCCTCAGTGATAATTTGTCAATCATGACAACCTTAAATTTACCCTTATTCCCAATAACGGTGGCGTTCTACAACGTGTCCTCATATTCACTGCCCTCCTATCGTTTTATACAAAAGGATTGGGTAATGCGCTTCTGGTCAGTTATCCTAAAAAGAAAGTATCATTCACAACTTCTTATATGGAGCTTGGAACTTGACACAGTATGGAGGTCAAAAAATGGCCGCCTGAGTAACAAACGGAAGTCAGTGTAGTGTGAATTTCAGGTGCGACCATTTCTCAGTCCTGAATCACTTCACCTCCCTCTCAATGAAATGCCATTTTTTGCTGTACCAGTTTTACAACGACTTTCAATTCGTTAGTCTCCTTTTATGTTAAATGTCTTTCTAGCAATATTTTATGTTCTTGTATTACCGTCGATGTTTACTTTGTTATGATACTTATCTATTCGTCATTTGTCGATTCGTAGATGTCCGTATACTTCCTGTTATCCTTTGGCATCATCCTGTTATTCCCTGCGTTCGAGTTAGTGAATGAACTCCCTTTTTAGATGTTTTGTATGCCTGTTGCGTTCTACTGTGGGTGGACGAATCTCATTCCAGTCGATACAATATTACGAAACAATTATACGAATAAAGCCTTTTACCAACTGCTTTCTTAATGCCAATGGCCGCGCACTTCAATCGGGCCTAATTATTGCGAAGTTACTCTATCCAATTCGACATGACTTCAGGCATGTTGCTTGCTATATGTTGACATGTCAATGTCAATTATACCTTTTTGCATCGTGCGGTGAGGCCGGAACAGAGGTATTGGACTACAATTGTCACCAAAAAACCCTTATTTATTTTTCTTCGCTGTTCTCTAGGTCGCTACTTATTCTAAATCCTGATAAGAAAGTTAAGGAAAGACTTTCAAAATATTTGAGTGTCGTTTCACACCAAAACCTATTTCGTCCCTAACACTCGCTTTCTCAATAATTTCGCAATTCGCTTTTTGATTACTGCTTTTGCATCATTCTGTTAAATACCTGCCTCTCGGCGAACCCAGCCACTCGAAATAAACGTGAAGATACACTGGAAACTGAAACGAAAGTTTCCGGTTTGTTTCCAGTTGTTAGCCACTCAAGATTTAAAATCGACCAAGTGTAGCTTAGACTTAGCTGGCTATTGAGCCACTTCTCTAAAATGAGGCTTGTCAACGACGCTCGGGAATATAAGTTCAGGCATTGGCAGCTCTCACTAACCTACCTCTTTAACAAGATCCAACTGGGTATCAATTTTTCTCTGGAGCTCAGTTTCCACACCAATGCTTGCCTTATGAGATCCAAGTATTGATTAATGCCTTCTTGCAGAAAATCAAGAATGCGGCATATTTATGCACAGGCATATTTCTTTTTTGAAATATTTCCAAAAAGATGGTCACGCAGATCATTTGAATTAGCTATATTCTGCGCAAGTGCAATTATTTTGCATGGATTGCGTTTCCTGAACTGTTCTTCGGGACTTCAGTGACGGCTCTCATAAAAGTGCATCGAAGGAACAGTTACGCAGGCTCCAAACAATTTCGTAAAAGTAAATGTGACCCCATGAACAAGAAATAATTTATTCTGCATGAAATGTCGGAAAGACCGTTACTCAAATCCATCGTTAAAAGTACATTACCACATTGCGCCAAAGGGCGACGTCGAGTAAATTTGATTCCTTTTACGTAAAAAAACCTTCCTATCCACGAGAAGGTTGAGGTCATGACGCCTCCCATCTGTGTCACTCCCATCCAGGAATTTCCACGTCTAGTAACTGATCAATTGAGTAGCAAGCCATCGACCTAAAACCACGATCAGTTAAAACCACAGGAATTATGACGCATTTATTTGTAGACCGCGTAGTCACAAGTCTCACCACGACCTCACTAATAGTAAGCACTAGCTCACAAGGTAGCTGCGGACAGAATGTGTCGAACTTGCTTAACTAGCCTTCTGTGTGAAAATATTGGCATCTTTTGCACACAACATGTTAATTGCCTGTGCTAGTAACATTTGTCAACTGTCATCAGAGGTTTTTGTCAGGTTGTTACGATGATACTTGGTTTATTTTTCCCTGTGTTTCTAAGGCAAATGCTAAAACAAATGGTGCTAGTTTAGGCTGTTAACACCAAATGAATTACATACAAACTGTTTTCTGTCTTAGGATTTTGATAAACTTCGAAGAAAACAGGAGCAACGTTTAAAGAAGCAGTTTCACTGTGTAAAACTAAAAAATCTTCTTTCTCACCCCCAATCTCTCGTGTACCAGTCACATGATAGATGCGAGCTGTCTGAGAATGAGGTCGGACGCATCGTTTGACGCGACAGGAAGTCGCCGCTTATCACACACCTTACACGCACTCAGATCTCACGGATGTCAGATGCGCTGTGAAGGTCATAATAAGAATGAGTCACTGTGGTCTGTCCATCGCCTAAAAGGAAGGCTGAGTTAATCCATCAGTTAATAGTCTCTCAGCAGACAAGCATAATGAAGATTCAAACGTATCACATTTGTTATGACGGGGAAAGGACTGAACTGTCATGTGGAAGGAAGCCTCAAGACTGGCGTAACACTTTCTTTATTCCGTTGTGAAGCAGCATCGAATCCGAACCGACTGGCGAATTGATGATGAGATTGGACGCAAGGGAGAGTGGGCGTCTAGCACGCGAAACACACAGGTACAGAAGGTACATGGACATAGTGGGTGGCAAAACTCATGAAACATGATGACCGAAATGTAGGTTAATATTCCGGAGTAGTTCGAACGCTACACATTTTGCTTATAAGCTCAACACATTCTGAAAAAGTGCTCTTCTCACACAGAATTTTTGTCTAATCATTTAATCGACAAAAGTTTGCAAGTGGATTTCAAATCAACGATATTTTATATTTGGGTAATTTCCTCTATTGCTAACTCTTCTTGACTACATCTGCAGATATGTTCGTATTTCTCTAGTAGATGACATTCTTCCTGACGTAGGGGAATTTCCAGATCTAAAGTTCAATTCGCAGTCAGCCTAAATCCGTGAGGAAAAACGTGAGCTTGGGCGAAACAAAGTTTTATTTCCGAATTCTTATTTGTGGTCAGCGAAATTGTACAAATGAAAGATCAGCAATAGCGCTTCCAGGCAGTCGTTTCTTTCAACACAAAAGACATCTTCAAATATATTATGTACAACAGTGTAGTACCTACACATAAATAGCCATTTTATTTTTGACATATAGGTATATATATATATAAGTAAGGAAGAAGACTGGTCGAGAACCAAAGCAATCTGTTTACTGTTCTGAACTTTCGAACTCGTACAGGGGTACAAAGTCAGAGATGGTGGTAACGACAGAACAAGCGACAGTCATAGGGCCTGCTTACCAATTGTCGATCGATGGCGCAGGACTGGAGGTTACTTCGCAGGGCAATGTACGCTAGCGCAAGGTCGATAAATTATTTGACTGAGCCCCAAACAGAGACCCATGCTTCAATCAATTCCCGGTCTGTTTTGTTTTCGGTGTGGACGATCATCTTGGTGGCTGCGAAGTTCAACTCAAAACTCATTTCTTGGGTTTGGGCAGCTACATGTTTGTAATTCTTGGCCGCATCGTACAGCCAGCTTGTGTTCGTGTAAGCACGATCCTATCATGCGTCCTGGACATGTTCAAGAGCTCAGGGCAATAAGCAGACAGTTCCGGTGCACGACTAGTCCTCATCTTTACTTACACATACAATTGTAACTCGGACTTTGGCCTCTCTCCATATGTATATATAAATATGCAAAATGATAACAGAGCGACGCACATTTATATGTACATATATATAAATTGACTAATGGGCGTTCACCGGTCAGGTAACGGAACATGCTCGTTCCGTTGTGCATTGATGCTCTTACTAGAACCCTCACAGGCAGTCGCACAGCGATTAGTGGTAGATTTAAAAATAGTGGTACCGACAAAAACAAGGACGACCGGAATGGCCACTTCTGCCTTATCACACGACATCAGCCAGTCATACCTAACTCCAACTGTGGATTACTTGAGCCCCAAATAACAAAGGAAGTAGCACGTTCCGTAACCTGATCGGTGAACGCCCATCTGTCATCCCGATCACAACCGACAAGACAACGAGCCCGTGCCTCAATGGTAGAGTGTCAAACTCCATGACCAAAGATCCCGGGTTCGGATCTCAAGTTATCCAGACATAGGGTTGAGTACGACTGGCTGACGATGGCTAGTAAGCCAGAACTGGCTGTTCTGGCCTCTCTTGTCTTTGTCGGCAATACCATTCTGCCTATACATACATCTATGTTGAATAGCTGACGTAGTGTGCAATCCAAGAATATATGATGTGGAGTGAAGGCTCGTCGGAGAAAAATCGAGTTGTACTCGTGAATTTTCGGGTTGGTGACACCAATCAGTCATCAGACGAAATAAATGGGTAAAAAGGTGGAATGGTCAGACTAAATTGGCTGACGCGACAGGACAACCACTAACATGCAAGCAGTTAGTGTTTGGAAGCGGGGGGGGCACGCTAGTTGGCTATGATTTGTGGCGAGAATGGGAAGGGAGAACTGTTGTGGTTCTCTGCGTTGTAGGGTAGGGGGGATGACGATTCAATTGAACTGCAGACAGTGGACTTAGTAGTTGTCGATCCGGCATGGGGGCAGAGGTCAATGCGCCAACGTAGGGGGTGTTAGACCTTGCAGTTGGGGTTCGCTGGGGGAGCGGTGGCTAAATGGTGAGATTCTACATGACCCAGTATAGATTAGCGACTGTTGTTAGGTCGTGGGCGCAAGTCAGTGAGCCGGACGCGCAGACCTTCGTAATGAGCATCCATATCGACATGATAATTGACGCTGGTCGTTTAGAGTGCCAGGTTTCGAGAGGTTCTCGGGCCCGATTAGTGCTAGCCATGGTAACAATTTCAGTTCCTTCCCAATTGGAGCGATGGTCGCATTTAACGGCGTGCGCAAACACGAGTGACGAAAGGTCATGTTGGCGGATTGCTAGTTTGTGTTCGTTTATACGCGTCCCAAGTCGTCGGCCTGTATGACCAACAAAATCGCAAAAGCAGTTAGCACACGGAATGCGATAGATGACATTCGTTTGTTGCTCCCACAGCTATTTAATATATAGTTGGGCGTCAAATGTTTATCCTTACCAGACGTTGGGGGAAATTTAAACAGAGGCAGGCTACAACTTATGAGCAGCTGACGTTTCTTCATCACTATCGCAATCACGACCTCCTACCAAAGTCTTTTCGTTTCAATCCCATTTTGCAGAGTGATAATGTGAAGCTACTTACACACAAATACGGATTTCGCGTTTTGAGTGCCATTATATCAGACGTCAACCATTAATGCAACAGTATCTGACCCCCGAGCCAGTGCGTCTCAGCATTACCCAAAACGTATTCGAAGACGTGCTACAACGAATAAATGCCAATGCTATAGACGCCAGAATGAAAAAGCGAGTTGATCATCAAGTAAAACTTCAATCTGTTCTGCGCCCTGTCAAAGAACACAGCAGATAG